TAAAAAAAAATTAATTATGAAGATTTATTTCAAGAAAGGAAAATTAATTCATAAATAAATATAAAATGTGATAAAAATATGCATAAAAATCAATATCGATTAAATTCTAAAAAATATAGGCCGATCCACATTTTTCCTAAGTCTAATATCAGTACCAATCTAATACCGATAACACAACATAACCCTATTATTAATTAATCTATTCTTTCAAAAAAATCAAAAAACGTTTATATTTGAATTTATGCCATTTTATATTAAAAAATATATTTTAAATATTTTGTTGTAAATTATTAAAATCAAAATTGAAAAATGCTCCATCTTGCGGAAATTTTTTAAATACTTTATTTTTCTATTATATATTATTATTATTATAGAAATACTTCAATATATATAATTAATTTTCCCAATTCATTAAAATATGAATTTTTAAACAATAATTATTTTTATATTATATTTTTTTGAAAAATATTTTGCAATTTATAATTATATACAATTTAAATATAATAGAAAATATTTTTATAAATAAATGAAATATTTAAACATAAAATCATTAAAAATAAAAATTAGTTAAAAATAGAAACGCTTTCAACGTTCATTGACAAAATTGAAACGCGTTGTTACTTCAAAAAAGGGAACGCGTTTACGTTCGTTCAACTAAATTTTTTATTTGTAAAAAAAGTTTCTTAATAATTTTTAATATATAAAAAATATAAATTTCTAACTTTAAATTTATTATTAAAAAAACGAGTTTAAAACAATTAATGATAAAAATATATAGCACATATATATAAATTTAAAAACAACTGAATAAAAAAACAATTAAGAAATCAGGTTATTTGCATTGCTATAGAGAGGGGATGAATAACTATGCAATTACTTTGATAAATAACCATCCTAAGGGATTGTTTGAAATAGATGGCTTCATTATGATCGCCATTTATTTGCCTATATTTTATCTCTAATAATGTAATAAATTTAAGAAATTCCTCACCAAAAACACAAAAAGTATTGGTGATCGGTGAGACAAAAAAAATACGTTATCGATATCTGAATATTTTTAAGATTTCTACATAACCAATTGCTATGGCATCTCTGCTGGATCGTGCCAAAAATCGATGCATATGTAATCACATGCTATTGGAAGACAAATGTATTAATTAGGCTGATACCATAGGGTCATTGTGTTCAACAATTAAAATATAAAACCCTAAAACTTAAAAATTTACTTTACTATTATTATGATCAAATCTAACAATCTAAAATAAATTATTAACAGGCTACTTATATATAGTTTTTTTAAATTTTTTTTAATATTTATGTTTTAATAATTTAATAATCAATATTATATAAATTAAAAATAACATGTAAACTATGTATAAGATAAGATATTTAGAAATATAATTTTAAAAAGAGGTTAAAAATAGTCATCTTCCTCTGGTGACGGCTATGAATCTTTAAAAAGTTTAAATTGTAAGGTAGTATTTCAAAGCTGTTTTTTTTAATTAAAAGGGCCCTCGAGATTGCTGTTTTATGGCTCTTTTGGCAAATCAGTTTAATTAGGGATTTAGCCTCTTTCCCAAATCAGCAGTTTGTTGATACTACTGTTGTCAGCTATATTTGAATATTTATGGGTTCGGTATATCTAATGGATCATATATTTGATGGGGTGATATGCATTTAAAGTCTCAATATATGTGTGTCATATAATCCAGGGGGTTAAAGTATGCCCATCCGACCACGAGTTATTAATAACGGATGTGGTTCGAGATGTAAAGGAACATCGGCGTTGAATAATAAATCTTGGATTATTCTATTAATTTTTTCATGCCTTACATATTTACATCTGTTCATGAGACAATGGAATGGATGCGTAGCTTTAGAATCATCCATTATTCCACAAATTTTATAGTAGGATAGATATGTCTAGCAAGCCTGACAGAGCATATCTATGCTATTTTTGTCAAAAGAAATTTATATAGCATGCTTAGATAAGTTTCTAACCATTTGTGGCCTGATTTATCCAATATCAACGAATGAAGGTTAGTAAACTGCTGTGTATCATTGCTCGAAGGCAGATAATAATCAACAAAACGTGGAATGATTACAGCATCCCAATCCTTAAGTAAATTAGAGCGGATTAATTGTGCCAAAGGATGTGTTAGCAGACTAGCATAACAAATCATTGTTCAACATGGTGTCCTTAAAAGGTTTAATTAAATTAGATATTTTTGTTTGTTTTTAATAAAGATGAAACAAAAGAAATTAAGGCTAGGGGCAATATTGATCGTAAGCCAAGTCCGCTGGATTCTGTTGGTAGGGTGGTTTAGCCAGCTATTTTGTGAAATTTTAGTTAAGTATATTTTCCAAAATAGATTTAAAGTTTTCTTCATGTTTTGGAAGTATGGATAAAAATAAATAGGCGCCAGATGATCTGAAGCATATTTGTTTTTTTTTGGAAATATTAAAATTTTTTAATCAAATAAAATGCCTAATGATGGTAAGGTAGATGCTTGAGAATATTTTCTTTTGAATAAAGATTAATCAGATTGTGTTCTAAAAAAATTTGGCTTGGCTACACAAAGATCCTCCTATTGGTGATCCGAGAACGAAAATTTTATCTTTAATCACATGAGTAAAAGAATAAATAATTGGTGAAGAAAAATTTTAAGTTGAGTACATTTCACTTTTTTTTATAATTTAAGGATAAATTTTGTTGAAAAATTAAAATGATGATATGTACAGCTTTAATTATTTGACTGATAGGTCCCAATAATGTGGCAAGCATCATCTAAATATCACATTGATGTCGAGAACTAAGAAGAATGCGGACCGAGTGAATCCCCTTTCCTTTGCTGAAAGAATAGTTTGTTAGCCATATCGTAATATTATAGAGGTACAGTAGCTCCACTGGACATAATTTGGATAAACTTCTAAGAACCTTTGGATTAAAACATTACAATTTAAAATATTAAAGCCATTTTCTATGTCAAGTTTGATGATTGCATGTTATAAAGCATGGATACCCAACGTAATCCTTGCCACTTGTTTCGCATCCCTTTTAATGTCAAACCCTAACTGGTTAGGAGACAGCGATTATAATAAGGGTTTTGTTTAATGTTTGAATATAATTTTTGAGATAATTTTTTTTATAACTCCCCCTATAGCAATTGGGGGATGCCTTGATCTTATAGCTTCTGTAAGGCGATTAGTCTGACTCCAGTGAAATTAATGGATGAGGTAGACCCACATCGAGAATGTCTTTGATGGTGAAAAAGGACTATTATTAACATTAGCTGTGTTTGAAAAGCAGATCATTAAAAATCTGGCCTGTATCCGGAAAAATTTGTTCATTGTTAAAAACATTTTTAAATATTAAAACTATTTTTTTTAATATAATTTTAAAGATTGTCCTGAAAATTGTTTTTATAAACGAAATTTGTAATTTTGAAATTCATATTGGAATTATTATTAAAGAATTTGATTAAATTATCTGATAGATTTTGATGTGGAACTTTCTTTGTCTTCAGGGACATTAAGGATGTGAAAAGTAAAATGGAATAACCGCTCCCATAATAATAAATGATTGCAATACTGTTATATTGATTTGGTGAGGTAACTGGAAGGATTGTACTACTACTCTGGCTTCTCGGGGTATTCTGGGTAATGTTGTGGGAAGTCTTTGGTCAAGAATAAGTCAGCCCATGAATGACTTGTATCATTAAAATTTTTAAATATTTGCTATTGCAGAATCATGTTAAATATTAATACTAACAGGGAATTATTAAAATTATTATGAAAGGCATTAAATGATGATGTTAAATTAGTATTTTATTTCTTGTTCAATATTAGAGTGGAAGGTAGTATATTACTGAGTGGACATTTATACAATGAGGAAAGATTCTACCTTCTCGGCACAAAATCTGCTTGTTCAATTTTCTAAGGATTCAATCCTCCTAGGGTAATATGCACTACTTTTTTAAAGTTGTTTTTAATGTTTTTTATATAAAATATATATTTTTTTAATTCAATTTTTAATATATTCTTATGTTTTTTTAAAATACATTTCATTTTTTCTAAATTGACCGTTTTATAAAAAAATTATTAACAATTACTTCCTATTGGAAGAAAAAAAATTTTAATTAATGGAGATTAAAGAATAATTAAATTTAAAAAACATATTATATAAAATTGTTTGAAAAAATATAAAAAGTAGAGGTAAAAAATTGGGGGAAAAAATAAATTCAAATTTTATAATTACTCAAAAATTGGGGCAAAATACAAAAGTATACTAAAAGGGAAATACAACTTAAAATCCAAAAAATAATTATAAATACTTTAAACCTGTAGAAAAAAAATAGTTACACAAAAATTACCTTAGCCTCTAGTTAATTAATTTGTTTATTATAGTTAGTTTGTTTATATACTAGCTAATATTTATATTTATACTACCATCATATAAATTTTTTTAAACCTAAGATGGTTAGGTTAAGAATAGATTTTTTTTGTTGACTTAATATGGAATTCAACATATAATAAATCAAATTTAAAAATATTAACATTACCTACTTTCTTATATATTTAGATATTTCCACATTTAATTTCTTTTCACAAATTAATAGCATACATAATATAGGCTAAAAAATTTTTTTAATTTATGATAGTTAATTCTCATTTTTGGGCATCAGCTAAATGGAAAGTAATAGCCAATATCAATACTAATAGTATTGGTAGCCGACGCATCTGTTATTGGTTAATAACGTTATTTTTAATTTAAAAATAATAATTACAAAAAAATCAATTTGTAAAAAATAAACATTTTAAAATTATCACTTTTTTGTTAGCCATTATTTCAGTTCAACAAATATCCTATTTTATTAAAAAATGATTGTTTAAGCAGGCCAAGTCTAAAATTAATTAAATAATGCAAGAGCAAAGGAAACATGCATACAATATAAGTAATAATGAAATTTATTATTATAAACATTTTTTAAAAATCAAACCCCCTTAATCCCTCCTGTTGCATTATGATGGGTGCTCCTGCCCTCAGAGTACTAGCAAAATTGGGTTGTGTCTGGATCCTAACTTTAACTGCTTCCATAGGAGACAAGGCTATATCGGCTATAAATTCTGCACTTGCACTAGCTGCCAAATAGACTGATGTTCGGTATAAATATGATTTTTCCTTCAGGATAAAAATTATAAAAAAAAACAGGATTTAATTAATATAATGTAGCAGTGATAAATATATATGCTCTAAAAAAAATTCTAAAAATCAATTTTTAATTTTTTTGTTTTGTTAATTATTAGATAAGTGATAAAATTTTCAACACACATGGTTTTTATTTTAAACTACCTGGGGTAGAATGTTCCTTAACCAGAGATTTCAGATGAAGGGAACATAATTTAAAAAATTATGCTACAACATCTGGTTATTTAAAATAACTAAAAACGAAAAAAGAATATACCAATTTTCAAATGGGCCAGCCTATCATTTAAGAATAAAATAAATCTTATAATAGCCTGTCAAATTCTAGATAGTCTCAAAATTAGGGAAAGTTCCAGAAAATTATAATAATTGTAATGTAAAGGAACAGGATGGAGCAAAAAATAAAATAAAATTTTTTTGGATCTTATATGGACAAACCTTAAATTTGAAGATTTATGAATAAAATTTTGGTATATTCTTATTCATGGGATATTACTATTTATATTAAAATGATTACTTTCAAATATTTATTTAAATATATGAAAAATTACATTTTAATGACGTCTCATAAAATATAATATTGAGCTATTATTAGAACTTATGAATAATGTAAACATGGAAGATGAGGAATATTATTACACTAACAAATAGTATCTAAATATATTAAATTTATGAAGAAACCCCCAAAAATATTGATAAAATAAGTAAAAAAATGTTATAAATATCATCTTCAAAGAATATTTTAAGGATACTAATTTCAAACTCAAAATACTGATGCATTGCAACACACATCAGATTGTTTTGAACAATAACTGCCACATTTAATATTAATAATATTAAGCCAATTTTTGTTGAACTTTTTAAAAAGTAATTATATTTGTAATAATATAAAACAACATTCTATAGAATACATTTTGAATCATTTTTAATTTCAATCCATTGAAAACATTTCAATTATTTTAGAAGTTTGTATAAGAAGATGAGATAATCAATGCAACATAATAATGGAAAATGGCTCAATTTAAGCCAATTTTTAAAAATGGCTAACTCAGTATTTTATCCAGAAAAATATTATGCAAGTCTGAAGATTTTGCTCATACATAGGACAAAGGTTTGGACATATATTAGAGAAATATCAAGGCTTTGGCAAAATTTATCTGGCTACAATATTTTTTTAAAAATTGACTCTAAATTGCATTTATTACCTCAATTTGGTGTCCATTTTCAATGCTAATTCAAATATTGCATATATGATGATTGAAGGTTTAACATTTGAATAATTGAATTATTTTTCATATCTCAATTGTTTTTTTTGTTAAATCAAGGAATAAACAACCTACTTATATACAATCTTCAATTATTTGGATAATTATTTGTTGATATATCTTTCCAAAGAATACTATGAAAAAAGGTATCTTTTAAATTTTTAAAAAGAAGGTCATAAGGTAAGATTAAAATATATCATTACCACAAAAGAGTAAATCTGGTAACCCTAAATAAAGAGTAAAATTGACAGTAGCTTAGGGGGATTGCAGGGCAAGGGGGTGTAGACTCTGCTGCCTATCAAAGAATTAAAAACTTAAAAAAGTTGTAAATTGTTAAAAAATGGACTAATTCTGGAGTTGAATGACAATTTATGGTTTTTGCAAAGTTTTTCGGAAACTATGGATAGAATGAAGTACGTAATTTTTTTTGATATCTCTTTTTCCTTCTCTACTGCAAGGACAATATTTACAAAAGAAAATGATTATCATGGAAGTGAGAATAATAATGTTAACGATTCCCGTTCATTATAATGTTATAAATATAGTAAGGATCCCGAGCATTGCTTGCTTAGTACAGACAAGGATTTATGGGGGCACACGATATCGATTCTAATGAATAAAAAATAATGAAGGAAAAATAAATAAAACAAAAGAGAAATAGGAAAATAGAAAAAACAAACGATAATAAGCTTCTTAGGATAATGGTTTTCAGGGACTAACTTTACAATTATAGGATAGATGCCTCTGGAAGAAAACACACTACCAAACATAAGACTTATTTTTCTTTTTTCAAATAATCTAACCAGGTGTCAGGTACATTATTATTAATATTGTTATGGCTGTATTACATGACCTTACAATTTTTAACACTATTCTGCCAGTAAAGGAACTAATAGATCACCTCTTACTTACTCCTCTCTTCTTTACTATGCAGCTGACTACATAGTGGTACCGTCCATATAATAAAACACATATACATAATGTGAAGGATATATATATTAGTAAATACACATGGTGCACACTACAACTCTTGGTAGATGATGAAATAGCACATTGGTAAAAATCAGGTTGTAAATAATTATTTACTCATCAATATCATATATAATGATTATTATTAATAAAAATGGTGGGTAGTTATATATTAGTAGGGTAGTAATTTAGTAAATAAAATAATATGTTAAAAATGATTTAAAGCTGTTATTTTTTTCAAGTTTTGGTCGATATTAATTTGATATAAATCTGTCAACCCTAGTGTAAATAATAAATTATATATGAAAATTTTAAACTAAAAATTTTGTGAAATTTATGTGATATGGAGCTTTTCACCCATTTAAATCAAAATAATATAAATATCTCAAAAAAGATTAAATGTTTATATGTATTTAAATAATTTCTCTAATAAAGACATATTTTAACTATAAATAAACATAATATTAATATGATAAGGTTTATAAAATAAAAACTTCTCCGAGGGCTTCACTATAGACATTTTTGAATATTTCATAAAAACCAAATTTGCATAAGCCTTGCATAGAATATCCAATCAATGTAGGTGCCCAGCCTTTACCAAGGCCTTTAACTCCTTCTTCTCTAATTGTTATATTAAAACCTTGAAATATTCCTTTATATTTGCCAGGATCAACCTAAATTTTAAAAAAATGCATGTTCAAAGGATATATAGATATTACTTGAATGCGACATTTTACTAAATCTAAAGGAACCATTGCAGTATGAGTTAGGCCACAACTCAAAATACCTCCTAGGCCACATAATGCATAATATTTCGCGGATCCATATTCGCAACTATTTTCTACAATTAATTTCATGATAACTATTTAGCAATTTATAACCTGATGATGAGAGTTTCTTAGTGCTTGAACTTTCACAATTTGCTTTGAAATTGTAAATATTTGGAGTGATAAAAGGAAAAGGCATACTGTTATGCTAATACTATATTGACAAATTAAAAAAGATTGCCTCTGTTGTATTTGACAGCCATATGTTATATAAGTAACTTGTCAAATATTGACACAATTGAAAATAATATATAAAACTATAATATACAATGAAATACTAAATTTTATTATTAACAAACATTTTTTTAAAAATGCTAAACTTATCGTTTACAAATAGAAACAATTTTTAAGTCATATTTTCGTAAATTATTAAACAATATTCCCTAAATATTAAAATATTTTAATAATTTATATTTTAATAGCGAACCAATAATGATTACATCTATCAGCCTACTAGACCTACATCCTTCCAAAGTTGAAGTCCAAAGAGAAACAAGGAAAGAGACTGCTAACTAAAATAATTAATCCATCCAGACGTTGAACAATGAAATTGATTTTTAGAATGTATTATTGGTAGCAGAGTTGGGCTGATCCTCCGGAAAAAGAATTTAGTTACAGAAACAGATTCCTTATATAAAATGGAACTTAGATACAGATACTAGTATCTTATTCAAAATATGAAAAAGATACAAGATAAAATACTTGTATCATTTGCCAAATGAGAGTATCTTAAATACAAGATAATTTTATAATATTATCATTACCAATATAATAATTTTAAAATGCAATTTTATTTGGTGAAGAACATATCATATGCATATAATAAGAATAAATATTTAATGACGAGTTAATTATAATGATCAGGCATTTTATATTAGTATTTTAGGGCTGAGTTGAATTATTAATTTGCAAATATTTAAAATAGATTAAATTAAATTATTATTATTTTAGATGATAAATTTTAATAATTTTTCATTAAGTCTTTGCCGTTTCGGCGTATTTAACATTGTGCCAAAACTAAATAACCTTCAACTGAAGCTGATTAAATTATTGAGGTATTATTTTAAAATATTTAGTTAATAGAAAGATTATAATTAAACATACTCAATGTATTTCGACGGTCTTTAATGTAATTTAAAACGTCCAGCTCAATATTATTTGTATTATTAAACTCAGCAACATTGGTTTCACCAAAATAAAAATAATCATCATTTTCTGTATTAGATGTTAAATTTATTGGTGTTTTAGTTTGGACTTATTATATACTACTTGTACAACATTTAGGTCTTATTTTAATAAGATATTTTGAAAATATTTTTTTCTATTATCCGACAATTCATAAGTTCCTAAAATATAGATATGATAATGATAAAGTTGTTATTTTTTATCGTCCTAGGAAAAATTTTCCCAAGTCTTTTGATCATACCATCTAGACAGCTTCTAATAAAGGTAGGCAATATTGCAAACTTAAATTTTTAAGTTTATTTAAATCCTTTTTAAATATATAGACACTAATTCTATTCTACTCTGCCCTTGTAGTTTGTCTATATCCACTTCTTTAATAATGGGATCAATTGTTTCATATAAAAAAAAAAGATACTGAGTACAAGATAAAAAGGAATCTTGTATCTTAAATAAAAGATAAGTATTTGCAGTACTGCCCTCTGGTTGGTGGCCGAATTTACAATAAAGACACCTAACAACATGTTCATCAAAGTGCCCCTTGTTAAGGTAATAGGTCAAACATAATTTAGATTCTTTAATATCTTTAAGACATTACTAATACATTAACGCATTCACATGTATTTTAATTGATCTATCAACTCATATTCATAGTCAGTTGGGGTTACTCTACATTCCAAAGGAGTAGAGGTCGAGAAAAATATTAAATCAATATATCAAAGATTCAACATTATTTCACCCCAAATAAAATGAGATGTCGGCAGTCGTGCAAATTAGGAAAATTTACGTATAAAAGGAGTAAATACCAAAATTACAAAATAATCAATTTATTTATTTTTATATTTTAAATATTCAATTTTTTATTAATAATTTTTCCCTCTTTTTTGTTACGCTGCGTCCAAAATCTTAAAATATAAAAAAATAAATTTTGAAGAAAAAAATTAACAGCTATATTTAATGTAAAAATTAAATGATGTCCAATTTCATTTTTCGGTATTTATAAAAATTTATTTTTTTAAAAAAATAATTAAAAAAAATAAATTTGAATAAAAATTTATTCAAAATTTATTTATTTTTGAAATTTTTATAAAAAATTAGTAAGTACAATTTTTAATGCTGTTAATTTTTATAAATTTATTAACCCAAACGATTATAGCCTTTTATATTAATATATTTTTTAGTATCAGAATATAATTTTATGGAAAGCATAAGAGTGCACAGGAACCTCTGGTACAAAAATAACTTATAATTCAGAGATTCTGTAGAAAATAGGAAAATTTGGGAGGAAATTGGAAAAACATATAACCTGAATTATGATCACTCTGTTCAGTCCTATTTAAAATATTATATAATAATTGATAATTGAATCATATCGAGCATTTAAAATATTTTAATTTATATATTAAACTTAAATGTGTCCAAAGTGTTTTGTTATTAATTTGTGAAAATTTTAAAATTTTAAGGATTTTTTAAAAATATTGTGGACGCAGCCTAAAGAAAAATAAAAAAAATGTATTTTAAATTAAAATACAGGTGTTAATTTAATAATTTAACTTTCTGCTGTAACTTTTACTAAAGCATCTTAGTTTTTGTTTGATTATAAAAAAATTTTAATGGAAAACTATTTATATAATAAATAAATAAAGGATACTCGATTTTAATTTTTTTTTAAAATGTTCGAATAGTTACATAATTTATTAGATATTATATTGATATTTGTATATTGTCATGTCAAAACATAACTTATTGTTAGACAGAAATGGTTCATTAATGAAATACTTTTAGTAAATGTAACAGCCATAAATTAGTTAAATAACCTAACGCATGTATTTTGAGCGGAAATTTAAAAGTATTTAATATTTATAGAATTTTTTATATATTTTATATATTTTACGGGAATAATTATAAATAAAAAAATAAAATAATTAAAATACAAAAATAAATAAGATGTTTTTAATAATTTGGTAAATTATAAGCCTTTAGTCAGATAATGGGATGATTTTTTTAAAATGCATTGATGGTGAATAGGAAGTTAGTGTTATTAAACGGTTCGATTTTAAAAAATGGCTTACCCAATATTTTAGCTAAAAAAAATTACTCAAGCCTGAAGATTTTTCTCATAAAAAGGTTTGTACATCAATTAACAAAATCTCGAGTCATGCGTAATTTTAATCTTGGACTAGCCGTTTTTAAAAATCGAGCGCAACAATACTAATGATAATTATAGTTTAAAAAGATATTAAACATAAGCCTATATTAATGGATCTCTTATCTTTCCTTATTGTAGGGGTTCAAGTCATATCTAAAGCCTGGTAGCATCTTCTGATATAAAAAAATGTTCCAGCAATCATCTCCTTTGGAAATGTTAAGGCAGCCTGAAATAAAAGATTAAATTAAAATTACATCAGTTGGCACTTGGTGTTGCTTGCCTGCCTAGATCAAAATTGACGGAGATTTTTGAAAAATTAAATTTTATAAGTTTGAATGAGACTTGAATTGAAATTTATGGAGCAATATATATAAATTTTTTATATTTACTCTAACAATTGCTTTAGTTAAATTTAAAAAAAGTAGCTATTATAATCTTAAGGTGAATTCACAGTAACGAAAATAATGCAAATCACTATGCATATTAAAATATAGCTATGATATATTTAATGATAAATTAAGCATCCTTTGAGGGACATTGCGGTCGTTTACTATTAAAGGAGACCTTAGTTCCTATCTTTTTTGTAATGAGGCAACAAGAATTTATAAATTTACAAACTTTCAGTCTAATATTTTGCTCACTCATAAAAAAATGCTAGCTTACAAGAGTTTAAAGAAAAGATATGAGAAAATAAAGTATACTCATTTAAATCGGAATATAATTCCGTCTTTTATGTCAACAATCTTCCATCTATATAATATATTAAAGTAAAGAGTTTTAGATTTAGGGGTTAAAAAATTGAAAAATCTTTTAGAATGTAGCAATCTCCACTTCAATAATGAATAGTTAGTTAAATGATGATACTTTTTCGATTTTACATATGTTGGTAAAAAAAAGTAATTTAGCTTTCCTATGAAATGGATATTCTATTTTAAGTATCCTGTAATTAAAAAGGGTTATCTCCGTTTTAATACGATCCTACCATCATCAGCACCTTGTTGAAAGGCTAATTCTTTTACAGGTTTAATTAGCAAACGAAATAGACAAGGTTCATATGAAACGCATTTGTAAAAATTAGTAAAAAGTCTAATTTTTAAATTTGTTATTTTTACGTTTTATAAAAAGATTTTTTTCCTTTCATTTATACCTTTATTTTTTATCATAGTAATTTTATAAAATATAGTTCCGTTGTTTATGATAATCAGATAATTGTCTCTCAAATATATATATTGATTTTTTTAAATTTTTAAATCTCCATTAAAGAAATTAATAAATGTAAATTAAAAAATATTTTAGAGGGACATTCATAAATATCTCCTTCATACAAAAGGTATTAATACTAAAAAGTGAAAATGCTCGAATTGAAGCAAATTAGGAGGTATGGGTAATCTTAACCACCTAATTGGTAATAAATAACGAACCTTTTTAATGAACAACATACATATCTTTCAGATTAAAATAGGCAAATTATCTTAAAATTTATGATAAACATGAAAATATGGATCATATACGCTTTGACTAACGCAATCCAAATATTTTCAGAGGTATAAAGGTTATGCTATAGGAAGGAGGGATCAGTATAAATAAAATATAAGAAATTCGAAATCTAAGCATCATCCAAATTCTTGATCATTTGCTGAAATGTATTTGAAAGATAATTAAAATTATATTTAAAATATTTTCATATCATATAGTGGGACTGTATTAATATTAATTTACCATTCATTATTTCAATATCCTTTTGACATGTGATTTACAAAATACTGCCAAAATTATTCAAATAACAGAATTTAATAAAATCTGGGACTGGCCGGGTCGTAAAAATAAGCAGATTTAGAAAATCAAGTCTAGCTTAAAA